CCCCAAAACCCCAAAACCCCAAAACCCCAAAACCCCAAAACCCCAAAACCCCAAAACCCCAAAACCCCTAATAAAAAAAGAAGAATAGAGTATAATAAAAATTAAAAATGCTTACAAAGTCTGAATACTCAACTAGTACCTCTTCTCTCAGCACCGTATTCAGCGGTAGCCTGACAGAGCTTGAATCAATTCTTAAAAACAAAGATCACAAGCTGTCAGGCGACCAGAGCCAGGAGTCCTGAACTTTTAGACAAAGACTGAAAGATAGGATCAACAAGAACAAGGATCACCTATTTAAGGTTCAACAGGTTATTGAAGAAAGCAAACGTGAGATCCTTGAGCTCCAAGATCTCAAGAAACTGTTGTTCCAAGGCGAAGTTGCTCCCCTCTCGACCTTCGTGGACCAAGTCAGTAACACCACAAACTCTGCTCTACTCTCCATGCAAAGGGAACTTGCAAAGAGAGAATGAGACTATGAGTACGTTGTGTATGACAGGAATGTCATTTGACTGGATCACAAGTTCAAGAGTGAGGAGAATTCCTATCTGAAGCACCACTCTCAAGCAGCAAAGATGTTTAAACAAAACAAGTACGATAAGGAAGAGAAAAAGTACAAACAAGGCTGCAAAGATACCGAGAGGCTTCTTCAGAATCTAGATGGACTAAATAAATCTTGTAAGCATCAAATTAAGCAGAAGAACCAGAAGATCAGAGAAATCAAACAGAGGATCAAACAGAAGGAGGAGGCGCTTTTCAATAAGCAGCAGGAGTACTCCAGACTCACTAGGATGGCCACTCAGAAACAAGCCACTCCAAAATTGAAACTGAATAATGTCAAGGAGGAGCTTAGAGTTCTGAGGAACGAAAAGCTAACTCTGGAGGAATGTGAGCAAGACTGCAAGAGTGAGGTCAAAAAGCTCACCAAATCACTCAAGAACCTCAAGAACCGTAACCAAGTCGAAGAAAAGAAGGTGAAAGCTCTCAAGGAAGAAGTCGGGAAAATTTCTGAAAGTTATAAAAATGAGCTCAAGAAACACACTGTAGTTGAAGATTCTGTGGTTAAACTTAAGACTTATCTCAGAAAAGAGAAGGAAACGAAGGACAAGTTCTTGGTTGAAGTCAACCACCAGAAGAAAAAGTTCAGTAATAACCGTTATATGAACACAGATGTCAAAACTCTTAATGCAGTTGACTGGAATAAGATTGATAATGAAGACTCTTCATGACTTTCAGGTACTAAGTACTCATGGGCTGATGAGAAGTCTTGTGAAGAATCTAAAGTCAAAAACTCGGTGAATGATACAGAGAGTCAAGTCGAGGTCAGCTTTATAAGCTTCGATCCTGACTGAGAGTCTACTCAGTCAGATGGGAAACTTCCTTTTGGCGTACTTTCAGATGTTAGTAAAAGCCCTTCGAAGGCTCACAGCCGTCAGGGATCTAACACCTACAAGCCAACTGTAAGTTCTCACTCTAAAAGAAGCTTAGGGGAGCTCCGTAGACTTGATTCTGAAATTACTGGAGATACTTTCGGATGTTCGAAAATTCCAGAAGAGACTGATGAAGAAAGCGTGGCGAATCTTACTCCAAGATTACCTAGTGAAGAAGATCAAGAAACAGAAAATCTCAAAGGCATCAAGAACTCAGTCTGCATGAGAAAAAGTGCTGAACAAGACTTCAACAAAGATATTTATGCCTCTAAGACCACTCTTGAAACAGAGGGATCCTCTCAAAACCAGTATGAACTGGAATCCACCTCCACTTATAATGGAAGAGATGGGAAGGACAATGTGCTGAACTTGAGCAACATCTCTTCTGAAGGCATCAGCAATGATGAAAGATTTTACAGTCCTATAAACGCAGGTAGGGGCTCTGTACCTGCTTTAAATTTCTCAAAAATCCAAAAAGCGATGGCCTCACTTAATTCTTCTTGAATGAGCACCACGAATGGCAGTGTTGTTGATTCAAAATATGGTAAAAGACTTAGTGAGACCCCTAGCTTAGATTCTACTCTTAACTCGATTACGAATTCCGTGTACCAAGGATCGGGCTTCAAGCCTGCTCATTATAAAAATCGTCTTAGTCACGGAAAACTTACTATTAATAACTTAACAAAAGGACATAAAAAGTCTGCAGGGGGGTACCTCAAGGCCTCAGGCAAGCACGATAGAAAGCACTCGGAGGACTATGAGGTTTCATGGAAGGCCAAAAAAGATAAAATCAGTGGAGATGGGTTCAAGAAGAATCATTGGAAATTTACCAAAAAATCCAAGGGCAAGGATGTCCTTGCTGATAACTAATCACTTTTTTATTCATTTACTCTATCATACTATTTAGACCAGTTCAGTAATGTAATTAAGTGCTGGGGTTTTGGGGTTTTGGGGTTTTGGGGTTTTGGGG